TCTCCACATGCCGGGCACTCATTGGGGATATTGGGGTCGAGTCTGGATAGGTAGCTGTTAAGGCGGCTACAGTATCCAGACCGTAATTGAGCCAGGGTAACGCGGGTCTCTCGTGGCAGTTGAAGCTCCGTCTCTTCCATAGGTGGTGATTGGGCTCGTATTACGGCATTCATAGGTCGAGAGTCGAGGTAGGTGGTAACTGACTCTCTATGAATGTCGTTTATGGCTCGTCTGTATGTCGTCGGGTCCAATGGTTGGTCTATGTACTGTTGGACTACGTCCTTGTACACGAATAGGTGCCCCCTGACGTGCCTGGGCGGAGGCTCCTCCTGAAGCAACAGTCTGTTAGGGTGTTCACTTCTGTGACACCCCACCAGAAATTGCTTACAGAGCATTTTGTTGTGTTCCCTGACGGGGAGCACTTGGGCCTCGCTGTGCAGGTGGTGCTCAGGCGTCATCAGAAGGCACCCAGTCGCTATCCGGAGTGCGGCGTTCTGACAAGTCTGTAGCTTCGTCCACTGCGTCCAACTAGTCCCCGGCGTCCAAACTGGCGCAGCATAGTTTAGAACCGGCCGGCCAATTGCCTTGTATGTTGCCAGCAACGTTTATTTGTCTTTACCCCAAGTGCTGCCGGCGAGCGACTTGAGGACCTTGTTGCGGCTCTGTACTTTATTGACAATTGCGGTTGTGTGCGTGGAGAAGGAAAGCAGGCTATCGAAGGTGACTCCTAAGATTTTTGGGTTGTTTACAGTCGGTATTGGTGTGCCGTCGACGTGTATACCCAACTCTAGCCTGACCTCCTTCGTCCAGGTGGTGAAGAGGGTCGCCGTTGATTTCGTTGGGGAGAGTGTTAGGCTCCTTGCAGTGAAGAAGCGAGAAAGGCTGGAGAGATAGTCGTTCACTTTTGAGCAGAGGTCATCAATTCCATTCCCGGACTCCAAAATCGAGCAATCTTCAGCGTATGAGATCAGGGAAACTCTCTCAGGTGGTTGAGGAAGTTTCGAGATGTAGAAGTTAAATAGTAAGGGGGAGAGAACACCACCTTTTGGAACCCCTTGTTTAATCCTTCTTGGTTTCGAGGTTTGATCTCGGAAGATTACTGACGACTGTCGACCACTCATATAATTCGCCGACCATCGCTTCAGTCCCTGTGGGAGTGAGGAGGCCTCGATGTCTTCTAGTAGCGTGGAATGACAGACGGTGTCAAACGCCTTTGACAAGTCCAGCGCTACTAGGACCGTTCTCTCACAGGGGCGGTTTCGATTTAGGCCACACGTTATTTGTGTGTTTATGGCGTTAAGTGCTGTTGTTGTGCTGTGCACTTTACGGAATCCGTGCTGGTGCTTAGCTGGAGTCAGGTGGCAGGTGAAGCATGGGAGTAGTAGGGCCTCAAGCGTCTTCGCGACCGGGGAAAGGAGCGTTATCGGGCGATAAGAGTCTCCTTTGTTGGCGGGCTTCCCCGGTTTCAGCAGTGGGACCACTCTCCCTGATTTCCACACATCAGGAATGATGAGAGTGACCATGGACAGGTTGAGGACCTCCGTAAGGTAAGCTACTCCCTTAGGCCCTAAATGTTTTAGCATCAGCATGCAGATTCCGTCGGGTCCAATGGCTTTGGAGGCTTTCGCCTTCTCGATGGCCCCCTTCACTTCACAGCTGGTGAAAACAAGTGGTGCACTGTTTTTTGGCAGCTTGACCAGCCTCCTGGTCACTCGACGTTTGGCCTTGTCTACCGAAGGGTGCAGTGTGAATTGCCTACTAAAGTAGGCTGCGCATTTTTTCGGGTCCGACGAAGCGCGACCTTCGAAAGAGATTTCCACTCTGTCATCACGCTTCGTTGGGTTGGACAGGAACCTCACGGTTGACCAGAGCTTACTCACACCGGATGTGAAGTTACAGGCCTTCAAGTGCTCCTCCCACTTTTTCCGCTTATGCTGATTTACCAGTTGCCGAATCTCCAAATTAAGGTCCCTCAGGCGGGGGTCCCCGGGGTCGACCTGGCGTAGGTGGTCACGCTCGTTTGCTAGTACAGCTGCTTCGGCCGGGAAATTTGGGCGGACTTCCGCGATGCGTCCGGACGGAATGAAGCGAGCCGCTGCGGCAGTGACTACCCTGCGGAACTGGCGTTCGCCAGTGTGTATGTTTGTGGGTGTGGGAAGGGCGGCGAAGCTGCTCTCGGTAACTTCCGCGAAGCCGTCCCAATCAGCTTTGTTGAAGTTGGTATAGGTTCGGTGGTCCGCGGGAGCAAAGTCGGTGGGCTTATTGATCGAGATGACTATGGGTAGATGGTCTGATGCTAGTGTTAGCATCGGTCGCCATGAGATGCTATTGATCAAACCAGCGCTAGCAATTGTTAGGTCTGGCGAGCTGCTGCAGCTACCCATAATCCTGGTGGTGGCGTCGTCGTTCATGGTGCAGAATGTCGAATCGTCTATCTGCTCAGCCAAAAGGTTTCCCCTACGATCATTGGCCAGGCTTGAGTGCCATAGATCGTGGTGCGCGTTGAAGTCACCTACTACCATTCGGTTTTCACCTCTGAGTAGCGCACCTATGTCAGGGTGATATCCTGCCGGGCAGCAGGTGACAGGGGGTATATAAACGTTGAATATTTCGAGCTCGACATCGCCTGACTGGACAGCTATGCCCTGACATTCTAGGGTGGTGTCCCTCGGGTCGATGTCTTCTTCGATAAGCCGATACTGCACTGTGTGGTGTAAGATGAACGCTAGTCCGCCACCATTATCTCGCTCGCGATCTTTACGGAGCACATTGTAGGCGGCGCAACTCAATAGAGTTGAGTTGCTGTGCAACTTCGTTTCTTGGACCGCAGCTATCAATATGCCGTGCCGACCCATAAAGACTACTATCTCCTCAATCTTGCTCTGGAGTCCGTTGCAGTTGAGTTGTAGGAGTTTCGTATGCCTTGGGAGGCTGGTCGCGATACGGGGGGTGAGGGAGGAGTGAGGTCTACCTGTGGCCTGTTGCATCTGACGCGCTTGCTGTTGCTGCCTGTTGGTAGGTGGCTGCAATGGGGGCGCTGTTGTCTGCGTCAGTGGCGCTCTGCAGCATGGGGCGCTGTAGTTCGCAGTCCATTCGCGTGTGGTGCGTAGACCGGAGCATAGGCGGAAGTGACACCAGCCTAGGCATGTGTTGCATTTGACCGATGTCACGTTCCGGTATATTCTGCTCCGGCATACGGTGCAGGTGGTGTGTGCAACCAGGAGCTGCTGGTTAGCTCGCACGCGCGAGTTAGACAGGCCGGTAGACTGTGGGGGAGGGGGGGGTTGGCAGGTTTGCTGCTGCCCAGAGGAGCTTCTCGGAGCCGTGCAGGCTCTTCGGGTGTTGGGTGCGTTGCGCGAGCGGGTAGCCGTGGAGGCTGATTGTGCCGTTTGGCTTGAGCAGCAGGGAGCCACATAGCTTGTGGTCCACTCCCGGTGAGACCTAAGACCACAGCAGGTTCTTAGGTGACTCCATCCGTTGCATGAGTTGCACCTAACCGAAGTGGAGTTTGGATGGAGCCGATTCTGGCAAACACAGCAGAAATACGTTTCTGGTCCGGGGTTGGGCTCTACGCCCGCCCGGAGAAGAAGGATGCGGAGCAATCCGGCTGCAAAGAGTTGCTCCATGGACGAACAATGATTGAGGGGTATCGCCGATCTAAGCGGGGTTAGGTCGCCGAAACAACAGCCCTTGGTCGGGTGAAACCCGAGTCATTCCGGTACGTAAAACCGGCTGTCTTGGGAAGTAGTTCACTTCGAGTCATTTTCACCCTATCGTATACCAAGAATGATAGAATACAAGATTGCGCCATTCTAATTGCTTTCAAATGTCTAGTATTAAATTGTGGAGCAAAAAGATAGACCAGTTGCGTGGTGCACAATAAACAATAATAAAAAACGCAGTCTTTATGTACGAATGCATTTTGATAAATATGAATGTGGATAAGAATGTAAATAAAAAATGTCAGGATTTTAACAAAAACGACTTAGTAAGTATTAATACTCTTTTATTTTTGGGAGGTCGAATGTGGAAGTAGTTAAACTACGAAATAGCATGAGCAAGTGGAAATTAAACGATTTACAACTATTTTCTTCATATGATGATAAAATAAGGTTAAAGATAAACAATCGGCAAATCCGCCTCTGCTGGATTAGAGTCATTCATTTTTTGGTGTACCACCAGCAGCAGTGTTATTAGTGCCAGATGCAGTGCTCCCAATGGGGGCAGAGGGGTTAATTGGATTTAAAGTGATCACCTTCGGAGAGGTTTGAATAGAAGTTCCCGAACTAGTGGCACCAGAAGCACTGGCCTCCGAAGTCATCCCGCCGCTTTGAGCGACTATTGTTACACCAGGTGAAGTTGAGCTTGCACCAACCGTCTTTGTAGCGGGGACTATATTGACCAACTTACGTACCGTCAGATTACGATTAAGCAGCTGTGACTTTAACTGAGCCGGGATTTGCTTCAATCCACCAGGTTTAACGACGATATTTCGAATTTGCGGACGATCTGCCAACATACCGCTGCCCCCAGTTACGGCTGCTGAAGTGGCCACATTTGTAGCATTGGCAAGAGTTGATGAAATAGCCGCTCCACCAACAGTGGTGCCAATAATTTGTACTTGTGGTAGTGACTTTGTAGAGACGTTCAATACACCTGACGTCTGACGAGCCCCAATGGTCACTGGAGACTTTAGTGTCTGCAAATTTACCTGTTTTACGGATGATACAATTGGGGTACTGCCACTTCCTGTACTTGCAGACAACTGTGTGGCTGGTCGTGGCACAAGGGTTGTTGCAGACGTCTTCGGATTGGTAACAACAACTTTGGTGTATTTCGGCAACTGTTGTGCAATATTTGATCGTGATATGATATTCGGGCATGGCTTCATTGTGTTACGATTGATGAATACCACCTTATTTTGTTTATTAACCGACGTTTGGGCTGTATGTTGTAAAAGTGGACTGCCGGCAGTCTTATTAATTATATACGTGCCACCTCCAGTCTTGGGCGGTGTACTCACGGTGCTCGCCACACCAGCGTCGCTCGATGCAGAAGAATTCGCCTCTTTAATAATTTTCTGGCTAATTATCAGCTGCCCAACACCGGAAGTATTAGCTTTGGGAGAAAGTTATTTATGTATAAAAAAATAATTTATGAAAGCTTACACGAGCCTACCTGGCTTGTTAGTTGCAGCAGGTGCAACTACAGAATCCGAGAGGTTGCCGTCATTGTCAGCAAACACAATCGGCATATCGATTATGTTTGACAGGTCCAAATTAGATGTTGATGTGCCTGAAATGAGGGTCGTGGCTGTTGACTTAACGTTACTTAAACCAGTGTTAGTTAGTTGCAGTGTGGTGCTACCACTGGCATTCTTCACCACCGTGTATTTCTGATTAGAAGTGCCAGGTGGTGCGGCTGTCACAAACTGAGTCGTCTGACCGTTGGGCGATTTTAAAGTGAAAATTTGCTGTTGGTGATGTGCAGCGGTGCCGCTGGCTGGAGATGTCGACACAATGCTTCCGATGGATGTGCTTCCAGAAGCGTTGTTTTGCTGCATGGACGCGGTCTTAATTGTATAAATTTTTGATTGAGATTGCATTGGTGGCTTAAGTTGTACGAACTGATTCGACGGTATCATCTTTATTTTGGCACCAGGTGGTATCACCTTGTTTAATGCAGTTTTTATTGGAGTAGACTTAGATGGTGCAACAATTTCGTAGTTTGTTACAATCTTATGTGCTCCCTGTGATGATTCTGTACTCGAATTAAGTATCGAACCGTCGGGTTCATTTGAATCACCCAATATTGATTGTATGGCCATGTTCAGATCTTCATTTGTAATGGCAGTGCTGGGCGAAATTTGAGACTTTTGCCCTTGCTGTTGAGAAGCTTTGGAAGTGTTACCAATGCCAAGCAATGACGACTGCGAAGTTTTAGCTGGTGTAGATGTAGTCGTATTCAATGGACGAGTGCGCGGTCGGCCAACTGAAAACGGATAAAAGTTACAAATGATGAGCATTACATTACATTGTTTCAAAACAAATTAATGAAATCGAAATGCGTTTTTTACCCTTTCGCTTCACTTGGAATGGATCAGGGATTTTTACTTTTCTTGGTTTGGCTTGGATATGGAAGGAATGGCAAAGGATGTGGAAAATTCGGGTTAATGTCGCATTTTTATGTTGGTTAGTTCATGAAATTACATAATTTCGAAAATTATATGTGTTAGCAGAAGAGCAATTATAACTAAAATAAATACTACAAGTTGGATGAAATCAAAGCAGAAGGTGATGCTTATGCATTAGACAGATTCAAATAACATACTTGGTTGAACGCATTTAGTTTTCACCGGAGTTTGCTCTTGATCGGAGTTCATTGCTTCATTCTTGCGCTTGCGTTGAACACCGCTAATCTTCGTGTTGCCTTCGGTATTACTACTACCAATGGTATTACCGGTAGCATTTCGACCTTGCTTAGCGTGTACCAAACTTGAAATTGTAGTGGGAACGCGTGGACCAGGTGGATTGGTTAGAATTTTTTTTATGAATTCATAAAGTTCATCCTAATTAATTTAAAACAAAAGAAAAATAAAGTTAATTTTTTATATCAAAGAATTTGAGATTCAAACATACCACAACCATAGCGTCCACCAAGGATTGTGTAACGTTATCTAATTTTCTGCGGCTTTTAGGCACACGTAATACATCGTCAGCGCTACCCACCACCACTAAAGAGGTTTCAGATTGCATTTTTTCACGTAGCGACTCGATTTCTTCCGTGCTAAAAAACAATGTTTGAAAAATTATTTACATTTAATATTTTTTTGATTCCCATGTTTCTATACCTTGTTTTCGCCGAGTTTTGGCCAATCACAAATAATATCGGGATCTTTATATCCAATATGCGGTCGTCTGGAGTACCACGCACTCCATTAAATGTATTGTATGCGAATCCCATACACACAACGCATGCCACATTTTCTGACATAGCCACTTGCAAAGCTAAAGCAGAGCCTGCGTTGAATCCAATCAAAATAATGCTGCGCTGTGGATTCTCATTTCGAAGCTCCTGTATTTTAACTCTAGTGAGCGATGCAATTTGTTCAGCAACTTGTTCTAACGGCTGACGAGCAATATGGCTAACTGCAAGTACACAGCGAATTTAAAAAAGTTATGTAGCATATCTTGCAATTATATAAAAATATATGTAGTTATAACTGGACTTGCCATTTGAAGGTAAAGTAACTTGTACAATCTGCGTTATGCTTGCCAATTGATGGTACCACTTTTGAAGCCTGTTTGGAACGGGACCACTTGTTGGTACAGAGGGCAGGGCAACAATGACTGCATTCTGAGTTAATTTACGAACTTTCGTATTGGCGACGGGCTCCCATTTATTCTTCATTACCGGCGCCAAAAGTTCTTGACTAACGTTAAGTGGCCTTCCAAACAGCATTTTATCCATGAGGGATGGTAGTTTTGATTTCAGAGTCTGTAAAATATCCAAGTATGAGGCCATATACGTCGAAGGCAGAGAGTCCATTAGTAGAAAATGCAGCCATTGTGTGAGACGCGAATCCCAGGCGACAGCAGCTAGAGCCTTACGCATTCGACTAGCTGATTTGTCGACCACGGAACGACGCTGCATTGGTTCGTTTTGCCGGTTTGCATTCGCCAGACGTCCCAGCTGATCATTGTCCAAGATATTTGCAACTTTACTGAATAGTGTCTTTTGCATGTTGCTCCATCCAGATCTTTAAGGAATATAGATGTGAGTTTGAAATTGTGCTGCGGAAAAATTATAACATACTGATTAATACGTGATTCCCAGTCATCATCGTCAGGATTATTGTTCTTGACATATTTAGCAATTCGAGAGCACTCATTCATTGCTTCTTTGGCTGCAATTTCATTGTACGAGGGTACATCAGCTTGGTTGCATTCGTCAAAATCATGTTCTTCGAGTGGATGAGTGTGGCAAGAAGGGCACTGTGGTGTACGCCGAACCAAAATTGTCCGAGCCGGAGACAAACCGGTGCTAAAACTTCCTAAAGTCCGTGTGTTATCACGCGTATAGCTATGCTCCATTTTGTTGTTGGCGTCACCACTATTATTAATTGCATTTACAGATCCACTAATAGGTTGGAGGTTGGTAATCTGGTGCTAAAAATATTTAAATAGGATATGTACACATGTACACAAATGAATTTATGTACATACATTGGTATAAACATATTTTCCAATAATTATTTAATAAATATTTAATTGTTTTAATTTTTTTTTTGTAGTGACAACTATCTCATAGGTGATTTTTAATAACTAAAATACTAATCGGGAAAATCAATACATAGTTGGGTCGCAGAAGTAAAACAAATATTTCGTCACCTTAATATCGAGGCCCTATCTAACATCGTCGCAGAAATATAAAAAGCCGTAACTCACTAAAAATCCAAAACTCACTTTTTTATTGATTATGATACATTTCATCGAATCATAAGTTCTCACATCATTTTATGCAAGTTAATTACGTTTGTATTTCAGCGACGATGTGAAATAGGACGTTTCTATATTAGGGTGTTTGTAATATTATTTTTATATTATTGAGTAAGTTAAATACAAAAATTGGTAAATTTATGTAATATTAGGTTCATTCAAGGAAAACGTACATACATATGGCACACAATCTTCAAAGGTTGCACAACTCAAAATTACAAGTTTGCCAGAAAATGCGGAAAACTTTACCTTAGGGTTTTTCAACAAATTATAGCAAAAATTTGGCCCAGCTTTCGCTGAAAGGTAAATAAAAGCTCTGTGTACATTTTAAGCGTAGAGTTTCAAAAATGCTAAATTTCTATTTGTGTTACTTTTGAAGATCGTGTGCGATATGTACGGAAATAAGAATTAATTTACTCTTTTCCCAGACGGCGCCGTTGACAGTGTTACAACGGGTGCTCTTGGCCGCACCGGCACGCTTTTTACAATACTGTTTGCCACTTTTGCTAATATCTATAGCTCTTTTATTTAAGTAAATATTTTCGTGTCTATGATTCTTGTACTATTTTTTCTGTATTCATGTAACTTGTTCCTTATTCGCATGTCGTTTAAAAATTACTTTGCTTAAACCAATCTTGCCTTGCTTGTTTTAGCGATAAAAGCTAACATTTTGTTTAATAATAAACAATTATACACTGTATAATTTATTTATTACAATCTTCCTATATTCACAACACTCCTATTGACAAAATCACTTTTTCTTCAGGTTTCTTTCGCAATATGGCGTCGGTAGAAGGATTGCCATATGTTCGTAATTAGAAATTAAATGAAAGCTTTTAAAAATCCCTTTTACTAAAATTACTTTACAAAACGTATTTATAGAATAATTTGTACACGTATAGCTACTAGCACCTAGCGTCACCATGAATCAAAATATATATATATTACTCTTGGTAAGGCAGCATTTAATAAAAAAAAATTGTTTTTTTATAAAAAAATTTCCGCTGTGGCTTAATGGTTAGAGAGCATAGTACCACTCTATAGCAGTCGCCCCTGTGCAGCAAAGGCAAACCTCCAGGCGAATGTCTGCCATAAAAAGCTTCTCATAAAATCCATTCCCTTTCGGATGTAGCATAAAGCCGATGGTTCCTCCGTTTGTATAACAATATAGCAAAATTATAGCATTGTTTACCAAATTTCTTACCTTATCTTTTTCAAATACTATCAACTTAATAACCGGTCTTAAGCGGTGTAATAATAAGAACTTTCTTACGGAAAAACGTAGCAATTCATCAAGGTTCTATTGAATATACATATCGTTACCTAAAAATGAAACGGTACCAGGTCCATTTTTTGAAATTATTAAGGAAACAAAAAAAACGATGCAGTTTTGCATTATACGTCATTCTAAATTTCGAAAACAAAAAAGTTGACTTCGCACCTTTTCACCATTAGGTAGCGATATATTATTCCTTATTGGGCCCTGTTACACGGTCAGTAATTATCACTATATTTGGATCGTGATCCATATTGATGGATTGATGGATCGCGCACGAATGCTACATGTTCAATATTTATCGCGTCAGTATTTGCATAATTTTTGTGCTGCACGCTTATCCTATCGCAAGAAAATATTTTTATTTGATACGAATAATTTACAGATAATGCATTCCATAATTATTTTAAAATGATAGTACAAGATGTACTGCCGAAATATATGGATCACGTTTTGAAAATGCTAAACGTTAAATATTTATTGACGGTATTGCGATGCGCGATCCAGATTTCGAAATTTTTAGAAATCCATTAATATTGTATGCTACTACATCAATAAATATCGCGATACTTGAATCACGTCAATAAATACTGACCGTGTGACAGGGCCCATTGAATAATGCACGTATAAACGACAAAGCATCCTAAACTATTTTTTGGTGTGGCAGCACTGTCTTTTATTATTTCTTTTATCAATTTGTAGTAGATCAACTGGTGATTTCACCACTATTTTGCCATGATTTTATAAACAAAAAACATCTAGATATTTTATAAACTATATTTATCTACATATTCTACATGCAAATAAATTTATTATATCCTTTTTATAAAATGCTTATTGTAATTATTTCATTTCAATCATTATTACCTCAATATCTTCGTCATCAGACGCAGCCGCTGCTGTGCGAGTTCCATCGCATTCTTTGCGCTGGAGGAAATCTTCGAACAATTTCATATATGAATTCATTACCAGCACAACTTTCCCTTTATTTCGCGTATTACACAGCTTTCACAATTAACACAATATTATTATTATAAACCAAAACGATAAACAACGTAAAAGGCTGCAATGTGCGTGATGCTTTCGTCCACTGTTCTGCCGCAAAAAATTTTGACAGCTACCAATTCAACACTCAATGCCAAAGAGTAAAAGGCAGTAACGATATTCAAAAGTATTCGAAGTTGTCTTTAGAGAAGGTTCTGACTAACGGCGCAGTTATATTACCGGTTAATTAATTTTATGATTGCATTTTTAAATCCACATTATAAATAATGCTTGTTTACGTGTTTAACTACCTTCATTGTTGGACACCTGCGCGTTGCAGTCAATTCCACCACTACCATGTAGGCCTTTGACCAGCGTTGCCGTTTTGGTCCAATAGGACCAAGATTGTTAAGCTCGTCGGCGATTTCAAGCATCCGTTGTTGGTTACCCCAGCAACGAGTACATGTGTGAGTGTCGGGTTGAATGTCGGGTGCTTGAAGCTTGCCCGGCGACACTCAAGCATAAAGCGTCAACAATTTTTGATTTTCCATCAACACGAGCCGACAACAAGTACGTGTGACACGACGATCTCCGATTGCCTCGGTTGCTGGGGTAACCAACAACGGATGCTTGAAATCGCCGACGAGCTTTAGCTTCATTCTCCGTTGGTACCTTGGTTGGTTTGATGGAGCTTTTGTTAGGAAACAAGTAATTTTTAGCAAAAAAAAAACCGACTTCAACTCCCATAAAAAAAAAAAAAAATATATATATATCTCATGATCCCCTGATCGGATCTCAACCTGATTAGTATGGGACCACCTCTGAGACACTACCTTTCCGATACAAAAAGAATTATCGAAATCGGTTGACGTGGTCCAAAGTTAAGGCCCGTTTACATACAACTTTGGCGTTGCGTTGGCGTTGGC